TGTGGCTCGGGGGGCTGCCGGGGGGATTAGCATCCAACGTTAAGGGCTGAACTCCCCGGCTCGTCCCCGCTAGCCAGGGGTTTCAAGGAAGACCACCGTGCCGCCTTCTTCCACCCTCGACAGTTTGTAGCCTGCTTTAATAACGCGCCGTTCTCCGGGCTGGGTTTGCTAAACTGGAGCTCGCTCCTGGTACTTTGTTTTCGGAGTCTGGCCTCTTGGCTGAGGCTCCTGGGGACACTGGTCACATTTATCGCGGCGGGGGTGGAGCGAGCGGAGGGAAGAGGGAGGAATTTCTAGGCTGGGCTTAGGAAGAGAGTTTTTCAAAATTCTCAGCGTGTTAGGGAAAAAAAAAATTAAAAAATTAAGTAAATAATCTGGCCTCGGTCTCTAGGTTACGTTTGCCTCTGCTGTGGCTGAGCTCATGGAAAATCGCAGCTTAGCTCCTGTGCTCCGTGCCAAGATTAGTAGGTTTAAAAACTAACCGATAACATCTTTGTAAACTTGGAGTCATTTCTTTAAAGCCTGCTGATCCTTTCCAGCCTGGATTTTGGAGATTTCCTAGGGATCCGAGCGAGCCAAACGGGCATGGTATCTGCCCTGAAAAATCGCCACATCCCTCAGGAGCGTTGCCTTCGGATACCCGAGGGAGGGAGGAAGGAGGCTGCTGCTCCCCCCCGAAGGGTGCGTGTTGGGATCCTTCTCCCTGTTCCCAGCCAGATACACAGCACACGGCAACGCTCTGCGTGTAACTTACAATAATCACTGGTTTTATTTTTAAAAAATTACAATAGAAAAGTACCTTTAAACGTATTTCCAAAAGCGGAGTAGACAATGTGGAACCTTCTCTCCTCTCCACAAGACAAAGTACAGGAAATAGTTTGCTAAAAGAGTTAGTCTGTCGCTTGGAAACGCTGGTATCGTTCCTTTTAGAGCTGCTCAGAGGTTTGTCTTGGAATTGATTTCTTCTCATGTCGCTTTTATCAATCCCACTTTTTACAGAAGACCTCAACGGGACAGTTTTCCGTCGTGCCATCTCACCCCCCACCCTGGCTTCGGCAGCCGGAATCTCAGCCGCCTTTTTTTTGGCCCACCCACAGAATGAGAGGAAGGAGGAAGAAAAGGGTTAACGATGTTTGACAGGGCCACGGGCACCCTGTGTCTTCACAGGGAAACCGGCAATGGCGAAGCCCGGCCGGCGGCGGAGCTCGGTGCACCCGAGGGATGGGGTCAGGCAGTGGGGAAAGGCAATGAAAGGAGAAGAGTTTCGTGCCTCCTTTAGCAAACTGAAATCTCTTTGGGGTTGGGGTTTGGTTTTGCTTTGCTCTTTCTTTTTCCGAATTCCTCCTGGAGCAAGGAGAAGGAGAGACTAGTACATCAAGTGGTCTCTTTGCCTGGATGCCATCTCTCTAAAGATACGGCCCCAAGGGTGTTGGCAGCCTCCCTTCTTGTCTTGGCACATGGAAACACTACGCAGGAAGCCACCGGACCAGCATAACCTTGCCACCAAAGCCCCAGTTCAGCCCAGTGCTTTGGCGTAATGGTAAGCACCTAAGCCCCTCGGCTCGCTCGGCACGCGCGCCCCACCTCGAGCGAGCCGGGCGAACCGAGGCTTCCTTGGTTTTTTTATCTCGTACAGCAGTTTACGTTGCCCGTAACAACTTCAAGCAGTCATGGCAGGAGGAGGAGGAGGAGGAGGAGGCAAATTGTCACCTTGCTACATGTGCGGGCTGTCTCTGCCCGCCCCTGATCCGAGCCGTTGTACCATGCCGAAGCTTTGCACAGCAAGCTATTACCATAGCCCTAAGGTAAAAACAAAAAAACAAAACAAAAAAAAAACACCAGAAGAAAGTTGCTGATTGTCCTGCCTGGTTGTCGTGTGGTACGACCGGGAAGAAATCTGGGTAATACTGGAAGCGTCCGCAGACATCTTGCCGACGCAGCCGGAGCACGAGTCCTACAAACCCCAAGCGTGCGTCGCCGACATCCGCGTGCGCGTGGCCGTCGTGCCCTCGACGTGCAGCTGGCGGGGCAGGAAGGGGATGGAGACTCTTCGTTACACGCATTCGGAAGTCAAGCACGGAACCTGTGGTCCGACCCGGTGTAAGATTGTCCTATTTAGGAGGTTTGGTACAAAAATACTTGGTTAGTTTTGCTTTTTTTTTTTTTTTTTGGAATCTGCTTTCCTATGGTTCCGTTTGAAAAGACTTTTCAAACACTACAGCGATGCCTGTCAAACCATGCTTTCAGAAGTAACACGCTCTTTCTTACAAATATACAGTGTAAAAGAGGAAAATATTATTATTACTAGGTATGCTTTTTGTTTTTTCTTCTAGGAGAGCAGATGTGTGATAGAGGCTGTGGGAAAGTCTTGGAGGAATCCAAACTTGTGTGAGGTTTTTGGGTTTGCTTTTTTTTTTTTTTTTTTTTTAACCCTTTAAAAAAGAGAGAGGTGTTAACAACAACAACCACCAAAACGCAGCCGCGATTTTGGGCTGAAGCAGAGCAGAAAAGGGGCTGTGGTTAATCTCGCTTTCTTGGTGGGGAGGCTTTGTGGGGAGAAGGAGGCTCTTTTTGGAAGGGAGAGCAGCCCGCTCCAAGAGCATTTGTTTCACTGGGAAAGGGCAAGGTGGGAAGTGCCAGCGGGGAGAGCCGGGGCTGTCGGCACCCCGGGTCAGTCGGCCAAGCAGAGGGGAAGGACCCCACTGGTCACAGTTTGCCCCTCCCAATGGCTGTAGCCCCTGGGATTTTAACTGAGGAGGCACCAGCTGGGAAGCTGAGAGTTAAGTTGGAGTTGAATTTTGTGCTTAAGAGGAATTCAGTCTCTTGTTGATCCAAGGCAGGAAGCGAGGACGGCGGTGAGATGAGATTACCGGGAGTAATTCAAAGCCGAGAAGCATTCCTCGGCTCTCGAAACCCTCGCCCCAGATAACGATGATAAAACGCGGCAACGGCGGAGCCGTGCCTCGGTGCCGCAGCGGGCGCAGCGGTGCCACCCTGCAGGGATCGATCCCAGGGACGCGCCCGCCTCGCTGCCCCTTTCCTCAGGGACATGGTGTTGGCTTCCTCACCCCTTTACCCCCTCCCCAAAGCAGTAAATCCCAGGGGGCTGTGTCCAGCCGGATGCCGTACCGCAGCCTTACCAGCACACTGTGGTTTTGCGGAGAGCGCGCCAACCCAGTAGCCGCCTTGGAAGACTCCGTTAATACCCACAAGACTGACTGTAGGCCACCATCACACACCTGAGACCTGCGAGAGGACACGGCGGAGGGTCAGGGACACCAGGACACCGAGGTCGGTGTGCTGCCAAGAGGGTTTGTTTTGCCGTGGTTGGGGTTGGCGTTTCCCAAAGGGGTTGTTTGCAGCTTAACCCTGCCCTGATGGGCTCCACGTGGTAAATACGAGGAGGATGTGGATGGGAGAGCTGGGGCGGCAGCAAAACCCTTCGCTGGGCTGTGCCATAGCCCTTCCGGGCTGGAGGAGCATGGTGGGGAGCCAGGAGGTCCCTGACCCTCCATCCTCACTGCCCATCGCGGCAACCGGGGTTGCTGCGGGCAGGTGGACCTGTTCCGAGAGGTTCATTCATCTCCCCTTCCCAAATAAGGGAAGCATTGGCACACTCTGTATTTTGGAAGAACCACTGGTTCCCAAAGCTTCGCCGCTCCCTGGTTTTATCTGCTGGGCCTAAAATAACCGGTAAAGGCTTTGCAGATCTAAGTCTCAGCTGGGCTGCAGCCGCTCCTCCTGCCCTCCTGGGATGCGTGAGTCTCGTGGCCACGGTGCAGGGCCGCGGGGGCAGGGCGCACAGGTGGCCCGGGAGCGCGGGCAGCCAGTGCTGGAGCCTGGCTGGATCCACTGATCCAGGAGGTGGGTGCGAACGCAGTGCTGGGATGGTCAGGGCAGGCTGGGATCGCAGGGCAAGCGATGCTCCGCATCCTCCGAGCCTCCTTCCCCTCTTCCATTCCAATCCCCTTTGTTTATTTATCCTGAGTTATTTGCAGAGTGTATCTTCCCGACCTCCCTTGCAGGGCTTTTTCGGGACCTATGGTGCCTGCCAGAAAGCGGGCATAGGGTCTGGCCCCCCACCCTGAGCTGCTCAGGGTAAGGGTGGAGGTGGCCTGCAGCCCACCGTGCCAGCGATGCCGGCGCAGGAGGATGGGAGCGAGGAGGTGGCACTCACCCGGCATTCAGCAGAACTGACGGGACTTCCAGCCCTGAGAACCAGCCTCGGAGGGAGGGAGCCAGCGCATCTGCAAAGACAAGACGGGCACAGGGTGAGCGGGGGGGTGGCCACCTCTGAGCTCCACTTTCCCAGCCTTCCCCCGGCGCAGGGAGGTCAAAACACAAATCATGCAGCCATCCCAGCTCCAGTTCGGCCAGTAACACCGACTGGGGCCGAGTGCGGAGCCGGGACGGCAGCACCGCGGTCTCACCAAGCAGGAGGTGGGTTCATCCCCTCTTAACACTGGCAAAACCCACGTGAGACGGACAGGAAAACATCCACCCACCCCAGAGCCACCGCTTTCCCAGTGAGCTGCGGCTGCCCATCACCCGCCAAATCCCGTGGGTGCTCGGTGTCCTGCCGGATAACGCTGCGCCGGCCCCCCCACCCGGAGTTCCCCTGCCCCCCCGCTCTCTGCAGGACCCAGCTGGGGAGGCCACCCTGCAGCAAGCAGCTGCCATTTGGGTGGTGACACCCCTCTCCAGCATCCCCCACCAAACCCACCGTGCCGGGGGACAGGGAAGGGCTGCGGACCCCAGCAGGGGAGCGCTGCCGGATTCACCGCAGCACCCAGGGGCTTGCGGGAGGGAGGTGCGACAAGCAGCCCCTCCGCCACGCTGGCTCCGG